AGTCGATCGTCACATCAATGTACATTATTCTGATCAATCAAGCTGTTTATACAGATAGACTAGAGAAGGGTATCCGAAGAATGGCTCAGGGACCATCTCTTACCCCTTTCTCTTATGGCAATTTGAAAAAATATGGAAATTTTCATTGCATAAGTGCTGGCTTAATTTAGGAGCAGTTATTATCGTTACAAATTAAAACCTCGCAGATTTCTACGGCAAGAGTATTTAACTCTTTATAACAAGGCTTTGTTGATTCTCCTTCATTTTATAGTTAATATGATCATATTTATCAAATGACATCTACTTCAACACACACCTTATGTTTGCTAAGAATATGGAAATTTCCCTAAATCAGCCCTCCACCACTCTGCCTGACACCTTTAGTTTCTGCTGCCTAGCTTTAAAGTGTACACATTATAAAGCAACTTAGTAAAAAAAAAGGTTGGGATTACAGACTTTTTCTTTTAGCAGAGGAGGAGTACTTTGTTTTTAATTTTTCAGCTTTTGACATCTTCTGTTTCATCAGTCAACTAGATTTAAATAGTTTATAACTTTTTTAAAAGAAAATTTCTACAGTTAAATAAGACCATGAAATTTAGTTTAGTTTTTCATTGAGTGACTAGCACATAAGGAAAACCCTAATCCTTTAAATTACAGAGTGCACTGAACTGTCTGTGCAGTTAGAATAACTCAAGCTCTCTGGTGAACTCAGAGGGAGGCTTTGAGTCAAATTTAAACAGCTCACTTAAAAGAGATGGACAGAAGGCAAACTCTGAAAACAGACACATGGACATTAAAGCTACTAATTTGATTTATAGATAGAGCAACTACTGAGTGCAAGACAATGATTTTGCTGGAGGGGAAGACAAGGACATTAGGTTGGAATCTCTTACAGAGTTTATACAGAATACAGTAGGGAACTCTAAATGCAGCTTAAACTGCAGCTTTGTCAGCGGCACAGCTCTCATGTTTTAGCCTAACATAGTGTAGCCAAATTCATCAAATTAGAATATTTAAAAAGTTCATTTATTGCATGTTCCATTATACTGGGGAAGTATATCTACAATTTATGCACAGCCTGTTTTAAAGCCTTTATTTCTGTGATTATGATGGTTTTCTGTTTTATGTAAAAGAGCTAATAAAAAAGAAACATTAAATGCTAGAGTATTACATAAGCCATAAAGCAAGACCATTTTGATCCAGAAATGTGGCTTAATGGAGGGTCTGTTTACTATGTGTTTAAAAGGTTGCTCTTTTCAAAATGTACCTTTAATCTGAAAAAAGAAAAAAAAAAAAACTCACTGGAGAACACTTAACATTTTACTGAATATGAATGTATAGCTGTATAAGCAGGAAAACACATTAGTTCAAACTGTCTGTAGTTTTTACATTGATCACACCTTTTCAAAGTCCTCATATGAAACCAGATTCAAAATAACCTGAAAACATAGAGATGTACATTTCCTTAAAGATTTCACACCAAGGTTTATATGATCTGAGAGGATTCCATTCAGGGAATCCAACTTTCTTTCAATTTCAATGACGTTTATTGGCAAACTGCAAACACAAGCAAAGCCATATGCAATTATTGTTATTGGTCATTTTTTCATTTGATGTAGCAAAGTATCCAGGGACTGCTAAGTCTATAGGAATACATTGAACTCATTATGTTAAAGGATTCAATTTGAGATGCTTTAAGCTTTGTGGCATCGATATACATGGATCCATGTTTTTATATTATTTACCTCCATGACAGCTCAACTTTGCTACTGAAGCTGAGGCATAAGTTTGGTTGTAAAAAAAATAGATTAAGTTAAAGAAACATTGCCTTTCTTCTCAAACCAGTCTATCAACTGCCCTTCCAACTTACAAGAAATGTTTATTCTTCCAACTTGTCTCCAGAATATTTCTCTTTTCCTGTATTCTCCCTAATCCTGAATATTGTGAATGAAAGCCACAGTAGATTACTAGTAGTCTAGATGCCCTATATGCACAATGCTGCTTTTTTTGTATATTCCATCTTTATCCCTTCTTAAAAATAGCAAAAAGCAAAAGAAGGACACAGAAATCAAGGATGGGTTGAGAGTGAAGAAAATATGAAAGCATAAACAAGAAAAGCTCCATTTAGACTTCTATAAGCCTTCTTCCTGCCAAATATAATGCTATTAGAGCATATAGTAGGAGTTATCCTATTTACATTCTTTTTTCATATAGAGAACAAATATGTACTGTTATGATTTCCTTAAGAAAGAAGAAACAAACCATCTCCAGTCATCCATGATAAGACACCTACACAATTCAGCACCTCTGCAGGTTCAGCCATCAGGCTTCCTAACAGACATAGAAGCTGCTCCCACTCTATAAGCTTCAACGTTACTGTGGGCAAATCCCTTCAGCGTTCCCGTCCCACTCATGTGTTTATAGATATGACCTCTTCGAAGCCCTCTCAAATGATATATGTGGAGGAGTTAAGGCTAAGTCAAATTCCATAGAAAAGGAGTTATCAAGCTGCGACTTGTCAAATTTGTTAGTTGTTGATTTAATAAAAAATATATGTACTTATTTTTGATTAATACAAATTTATAGATTTTTATTATACCAAAAAGATGAAAATTAAGAAATTCAGCAATAACCTTACAATCTATACAAAATATGGCATCAGACTTAGATCAAATATGTCTAAGACTTAGACTTAGACTCAATTTTTTTCATCCCTTGGGATTACTCCTTCAGGGAAATTCTGGTTCCAGTAGCTTATATAGAGTATAAAGTGCAGAGTTAAAACAAGAACCCATTAAATAAAAATACAACAGACAATATAAAAAGAGTGAACATAGTACAAGAGCACAAAAGGTTGTAATGTCCTGGAATATGTTTCCTTTAGATATAAAAATATATGCATGATTGAGAGCTTAGGATAGATTACACAGCAGTTGAATTGGATTATTGCACATGCATTGCGTAAAAGTACTCAGCATATAAAAAAGTCAAAATTATTCAGACTACACAGTAGTTGGCTTGGATTATTGCACTGAATTATATTTGCATCTATTTTAAAGAGTTTTGACTGAAAATTATTTGGAAAGATTTTTTTGTATTCTTTAAAAAGTTTCTTAGTGATTAGGTAATCTTGGAAAACTTGAAAGATTTTTATTTCACAGACTCACTGTATGTTACAAGTGTTTAAGTGTACAAGTGTTTAAGCTTAATCAGTGTTAATCTTAATAATTATGATTTATCTCTAAAAACAAAAAGAAATTTAGTTGCTCCAAAAAAAGCAGATATATTAAAGAGGCATTGAGCAAAAAAATCATTATTTTATTTGTATAAAAAGAAAAAGTAGTATAGTGCAATGTCAGAAACCATCTCTCTGTGTTGTTCTCTACTCTCATGTGAACAGGTTCTACTCAAGGCTTTATTTCCTCCCTGTTCAGAGGGAGCAGTGTAGTGTGGGAGTTAAACTGCAGAGTACTTTCAATAGATCGAAACATTCACCCGGAGATGGTCTTTTATTAAAATGAACTCCACTTGCTAAGTTATGAGTTACTCAACTCCTCACTAGACATGTTCCTTTGGAAGGTGATGCTGTTTTGCTGTCCATTTATGATTTGGAAATATGTGGAAGCAAAGGTTCAGGGTGGGGTTGCAGCTGGAGTGGAGTTAAAGAGAAGTTTTGTCACATGTCTACAGACAGTGCTCAACAGCCCAGCTAGTGGTAAAATTTCACTGATGTGCCTTTGAAGACCAAAAAAGATATTTCACACAGAATTGTGGTCTAAATGGAAGGTCTTAGCACTCAACTTAGTAAAGTTTGAGGCTAATATTTCCATACCAAAACCCTGCTAAGGAAAAGTGGGTGCATAAAATAAGTGATTGGATGTATAGTATGATTTGGAAATAAGCACTGGTTACAGAGACTGGAATCTCACACTGCACCAGCTTGGATTTTGTGTCATTTAATCTATTTTCAGCCTGTTGAAATTCAAAATTTAGTAAGCACTGTGGATAGAAGTCTGTTCCCTTTTCCTTTAATTACTGGTAACCCTCTGTCTCTGGTTCAAGAGTGGCCCAGTTCAAACAACATCAGAATTGTAGCCCAGGTCACGGATAGGTCTTTTATTGGTTTTGAAGCTGTTACTTTATCTCCACAATTTTTAAATATCTTCCACTGTATTAAAATGACTTTGCTGTTTAAACTCATGGCTGCATTTTTGTTTTACCAGCTGTTTCCCTCTATTTAAATAAGGTTAAACTTGTCTAAATAGAGCAATTTATGAGGAGACTGTTTCTTTTGCAGTTTTCTGGATCAGCCTCCCTGTAGAGTATGTCAATCAACAGTAACCTTCCCATAGCTGTGTATTCCATGATGTCAGATTTTTGTATTCATGGGTATTGATTGCTTGGTCGATGCTGCCAGTAAGTCTTGCTGGAGCTTTTTTGTTGTCAATGGGCAGCTTCCTTTGACAGAATCCAGCTATATCCATCAATAATCCATCAATAATTTTATTTCAAATCTCTTTTAACAATCAGAACAGTTTTGTGCTTGATTCAGCAAGGTAATGATATTATCAGTGCACTATCAGGACAGTAGTCAAGACTTGCTCAGTTTCTTCAATGTAATGTGACTGCAAAGGTGTTTGAACTGTTTTATCTTAAGGATGCCCACAAATGTGCAAAAACTAGGAACTTTATCCTGGAATGTAGATAGTTCTGAAGATTCCTCATTAAATTTGTTGAAATCTTCAATATGATCCTAAACTGCTTTTTCTGTTATATTTGTGTGTTTCATAAAAACATATTTGTGTCATAAAAGAATTTTTTTTTTTAAATGACCGGTGCTCAGTCGATAATCATCTCTCATTGAAAAATGGTTGTTTGACTCCCTAAACCATAAGTACCCCTTTATGTGTCACGACTTTTAGTTAAGAGCCCTCATGCAATCTTTTTAAGCAGGTTGTCCCTGTGGTTAAAGAAGTTGGATGTCATTTTTTTGTCAACAGGATGGCCTTTTGGAAGCCTGGTTTGCAAAATGAGTGGCATGGTTCAAGGGATTTCAGTTTCAGCCTCCGTCTTCACTCTGGTTGCCATTGCAGTTGATCGGTAAGGATTCTTTTTTTTTTTTTTTACTAAAACAGAGCATTTTTTTTCTTAGTATGTTTTTTTTAAATATTTTTTTTGTCAAATTTTATTTTGCAAGTATTGTTTCCAGTACTAGTCTAATTTTAGTGTTTGCAGTACTTCTTGTACAGTTTGCTGCATGTTGATGTATTCTAAGCACATTTGTATCCCTTGGCCACAGTAGGAAAGAGTTGTTGCAAATCTCAATGTATTGAAGCGGTGTTATAAAGAAGAGGGGACCTAAAAGCTTCCTCTCTGTCTGCCCATTTCCCATAGAGATATTGTGATTACTCTGGGTATGGGTGGAAGCCTTAAAAAAAGGGAAGAAAAGGCCACAAAAAGAGATATGTTGCGTACCATAAGCCAAAGCATTCAGTTGCTTCAGAGGACTTAATGGAGGATGGAAGGGCGACAGAAACTATCAAGCTTTGAAAGTGACAGCTGTTATTTAGAGGTTAGGTGTCCTGTGATGTCATTGTCAATGTTCGAAATCCCTAGAGGACACCATCACCCCTGGAAAGGAAATATTAATTCTACAGTGCATTGGTGTCTTCAATTTAAAGTCACCTTATCAGACAGAAAATTACTAGTATCAGAAAGGTTAGGAAGATTAAAAATTGTTAAAGCTATTAAGATTTTTTTTATGATATCTAATTGTGTTAACAGCTTTATAGATATAATGGAATGACCCCAAATGCAATTCAGGAAAGTTGGAACTAATCAGACCATTTTCAACACCATTTAGTGATACTTTCTATGTTAAAACTTTTAATAAGTTAAACTGTATCTTTAGATCCAACAGATTTTACAGACAATTTAGGAAAAAAACCCTTTTCTCTTTGTTTTGGCTGGAATAGTCTAAAAAGGTTCCAGTGTTAGAAAATAACCCACATTATCTCACATTACAAAGACAAGTTAAATAGATAGAAATTGCTTTAATTCATATCACGGATACACACCTGGAAATTGTTGAGTCTACATATTTTTTTTAATCTTACCCATGATTCAATGCGTTGTGGAATCACCTTTGGCTTTAATTAAAACTACAGGTGTTTTTCCAATCTGAAGTCTAAAAGTGTTGCACAATTGTCTTTACAAAATAGATTAAAATCAACCGAACTGGATGGAGAGGGTCTTTGAACATTAAGTATTATACAGATTCGGGCCTAGACGTTAGCCCCATTTACACTACCCTCTTAAAACAGATCCGTGCCGAGTTCGTACCAAGCTTGGATCAGATAACTGTGCCAAGCTGGGTTCCTTGCGACCGTTTACACACCACGCTAAGGGGAACACACAACGCTTTAAGGCTTTTGGGAAGTGGATACAACAAACGATAGTCTAATCCGGGCTTACAGACGCAGGGAACAACTGCAGACATTAAAGCTGAGGTCTGTAAGTTTTTAAAAATAACTTTTTTGTCATATTGGCTAAAACTGTCCCTATGCCCAGACAGCAGTACATGTGATATGTAACCTGTGAAAAAAAACTGCTTCAATTGGTCCTGCATACTGCCTGTATTTCAATCTGGAAAGAATAATTCGTGACGAGTCAAAACAACCAATCACAGCCAGAGGAGCGTCTGATGGAGTGTCAATCACAGCTCCCCCCTCCCTCACTGCTTAACCTGCCTCAGCGCCTGGCTGCCGCAGTCAGGAGGACGCGCATGGAAGTTATGGCGGAGCGACAGCCACCAGCGAAAGAGAAACTGCCCTTACTGCCCCTGCCAACAACTGCTTACACGGCAAACTTCGGTATAACCAGCATCTTATATCTAGCTGCTTGGAGGTGAGGGTTATCGCTCTTACCGGTTCACACTCCATGCCGCGTACGCTGCTTGGACGCTTCTGGTCGCATGCGGTAGCCGCGCAGATGCTGTGAGAGGGGTGGAGCTTGGAGGTGGGGCATGAGTGAAGCAGAGAGGGTGGGGGAGTGGCGTGAAACCTATTTTTCTTTAAATTTTCAGTCGAAGTCTGCTCTCTTCTCAATGTTACAGACTGCAGCTTTAAGGTTTATCACACTGCTAAGTAGAATCCTCACTGGAAATTGTGTGACATGGCAGGGAAGTTAGTATTTTTATGAATGTCTAAAATTTCATGATTATAGAGACTGACTGTAGGGAGATGACGCAGCCTGTTCATGCGCTCTTTGTTATCTGAGATGCGGGCTAGAACAGAACAAGGCCGAGCCTTACCGATGAACTAGTACCAGTTTAACGCGGTTCTGTTGTGTCTAGCACGGTCCGGTTCAGTTGTGCCTGCCATTTACAGTCAGCAGTTATCTTGGTTATTGTGCTCGGACCGTTCTAGGCCCGGTTTCAAAAGGTTAGTGTAAATGGGGCTATAAATTGGGTAATTCTTAAAAACACTTTTTACTAAAACCACTCAGACCTTTCACTGCAGCTCTCCAAAGATGTGGAGTCATCAAGTCGTCTCAATGCCATGTGTTTGTTCTGTCCAGGCACTGAACCAGGTGAGTCCTATTTGCATAATGAAATTCCCTATGCATATTTGACTCTCCTGGTTCACCTGGTCAGAACAAACACATGGCATAGAGATGAGTTAATGACTCCACATCCACCATTTCTGGGTCTCGCTGTATTTTATACTAGTTTTCCTGGAAGATCAACCTCCATCTCAGTTCATAGCTTCCAAAATGTTTTTTTTTTCAGATATTTTCTTTATATCTACATCCAACTCCTCTACATCTCATTTATAGTTCAGATCATCTATTATACTTCGATCTATGAGATGCCAAGGCTTGGGATTTTGTTTTTACATCTAATTCTTTTTTGAACTTATTCACAACTTTCTTTGATCTGTCAGTGTGTTCTTTGGACTTTGTAATGCTGTTTTTATTCCCATTAATGTTCTCTAAAAATCCCTTTAGACAGTCACTGGACATCTGTACTTAAGCTGAGATTCACTACAGTTAGATGGATTCTGAAGACATTTGGACCTTTTTTTATTTTTGAAAAAGGGGTAGGCAACGTCAGTCTTCGAAGGCCACTGTCCTGGAGCTTTTGAAACTGGTCTATGTGCATTCACACCTGAAACAAATAAATACTTAATAGTCAGGCCTCTGCTTAGATTCCAAGGTGGTATTTCAGTTGTGTTGTAGCCAGCATGCTCACAAAGGCTCCATGGCAGTGGCACTCGAGGGCTGACATTGCTTACACCTATTCTAAAGGAATATCCCTCACCTGAACCTTTCACCAGCATACATTACTTTATTACTGGATCATAAAATCCTAAAAAATAAATAATAGATTCAAATTTTTGGTTTGAATGTGACAAACTAAAAGGTGTTCAGTTTGGCTGAATATCTGTTCTGCATATCACTACACTTTCATCATTACCCTTTTGAAAAAACAGTCCAAATAATTTCACTGTTCATGTATGGCCTAAATGAAGTGTCTCCTTTATACCTGCAGGTTCAGATGCATTGTCTACCCATTCAAGCAAAAGCTCACCATATCCACAGCGTCATTGATCATCGTCGTTATCTGGGTCCTGGCGATATCTATCATGTGTCCATCTGGTGTAATGCTGCAGGTGACCAAGGAGCAAACCGTTCGGGTCTTACTGGGTTACGACAACAAGACCAGCCCCTTTTACTGGTGCAGAGAGAACTGGCCTAACCAGGAAATGAGGAAAATTTACACCACTGTCCTGTTTGCAAACATCTACCTTGCCCCTCTTTCCCTCATTGTGATCATGTATGCTCGGATTGGGATTACACTCTTCAAAACAGCTGTTCCCACTGGAGGAAAGCCAGGCCCGGACAACCGCCACAATGTGTCAAAGAAGAAGCAAAGGGTGATAAAAATGCTTCTCATCGTTGCTCTGCTTTTCATTCTTTCATGGCTGCCTCTATGGACTCTCATGATGTTGAGTGATTACGCCAGGCTGACGGAGCAGCAGTACAGGATTATCAACATTTACATCTACCCCTTCGCACATTGGTTAGCCTTCTTTAACAGCAGCGTCAACCCAATCATCTATGGCTTCTTCAATGAGAATTTCCGTCGAGGTTTCCAAGCTGTGTTTAAGTTTAGCCTGTGTGCAGCAGATGGACAGAGGCGGAAAAGCTACTCACACAGATTGCAAGGAAACTCTGTGCTCCCAGCTAATAACGTACAGACATCATTGGAGCCCATTTCCTTAAACAGCATGGATAAGAACGCTTCCAGGCGAGTCAATCATGTCCCTGAACGGGAACTAGTGATGGAGGACCTGGAAAAGGGATCATGCAGTAGTGGAGGTGTGACTGCTGTGTCAATCTGATAACAGATGTTTTCTTCATTTATTTTAAGGATGTCGAAATTTAAATCTGCCGTGCCTAAGTAAAGTACCACAACTAATTGAATGAGTTTCAAATATTGTTGCCAAATATGAAATTTTTTAGTACGGACTAATGGACAAAGATAAAACATAGGAAAATCTATTCAGAAAGTGAAACTTATTCCTCAATGTGAGCAACTTACCTTAAACTTACAACTCTTAAACTGACCAGTGTAAATACAGTAATTTTTTGGTTAAAATTTTATCATTTATTGGGGTTAAAATTCAAAGCTTATTGTGTTGTTTGTATCCTAATGATCTGTTTAGGGCAAACTTGTCATAAAATTTTCTGCACAGAAAAAAGGTAAGGTCTGGCAATATTACAAGCATTTTTCTCCTCTCCCATCGGCACTATAAAAGTGTATTTTTGAATATTTATTAGATGCAGTAAAAAACGTATGCGCCATGACACCTGCAGAGCACATTTCAAGTGAATGAATAAAATTTAGATTTTGGTTGTAGTATTTGAGATGTTTGTAAAGAATATGGGGTAAAAACGTTTTCAATCAATGAAGGAAAACAATGCAAGGTGACTGCAAAAGGGAGCTCTTCTGTAACTAGACTTGATTTTTGGAGAAATTAACTGAAAGAGCCCAGATTATTTTCTGATATTAGGTTGTAAAGTTTCCTTATATCCACTCCTTCCTTGTACTGACTTTGACCCTTTCTCTACAAAAATATCTGATTCCTTATGGTAAAGGTGCAACAAGATGTTTAACCATTGCTCTGAAATTCTACACCCTTTTCACATCATTAGATAATTTGGTTACTGCAGATTTATTAGCTGCGCTTGATTCAAGACTATATAAATCATCATTAGATCTAGAGAAAATATAGGTCCCATAGGTATAGTGAACTAGTTGTCAAATTCATGAAACCAGTCTGGTATGTCTTAAAATTTGTGACCTAGTGCATTATCTTTGTCATGATTGGTTACAGAGTAAACCCAATATGCAGAACACACACGGAGGCTGATGAAAAGTTTAACAGGTTTATTGTTAACACAAGCACATGAATATTGCACTGGAACTGGTTCAGGCCTGGGGGCAGGTTCACTGGAGTCTGCAGGGATGACAGTTCAGTTAGCACAGGGACTGATGAGTTATGAGTCTTAGAGTTTGCTGACGAATACCTTGAAGGAGTCCGGGTTTCTCTTTGAGAGAGGTAACTGTTGGGTCCAGAGACTGTTTGTTCAGCAGAGTCCAATAACTGCTTCAGCGTCTTACTTCTGACTTTGAGGGCAGACCTTGATTTGGGTTTCCAGCTCTTAGCCAAGAGCTGCGGGGGAATCCAGAGAAGAGTCTTCAGGTTTGGCTCACGAGGGCAGGCTCGGCAGGTTAAGCTCATCCAGAGCTTCAAGGAGACAGGATTCCTGTGAGGCAAAAACAAGGAAGAGTTAGAATCTTATCTCTACTAGAGATAGCTAAGATTCTCAGGTTTACTAGGCTCAGGTTGCTAACCAAACTAGATCAACACTGCAGCGTTGAGGCAAGGTCTGAAGGCAGGTTATATAGTGGAGGATCCTCTGATGATGAGATGCGCCACAGGTGTGTTGGGGGCTCAGCTCAGGAGGATCCACGGCGCACTCTGCTGGAGAAAGGTGGTACAGCTCCAGATCCCAACAATCTTGCAGGATGTAGCAATTAAAAGTTTGTATGTTGTGTTCATAAAAAATATGTAGTGGCATTTAGGTGATACTTAGTTAATGGCATTATTATGTGCCAAGAAAATCACCTCACCTTCATAATATACCAACAGCTTCATCTTGCTTATGCCTCAATTGACTAAAGCATCTACATATTGCAGCTGATATATTAACACATTGGATCAGGCTAATGTGGTACCCCAGCACACACATTTGTCACAATTCGAAATGCTCTTTTTTTTTTTTTTTTCCCGTTTTTTGGGGAACAACAAAGATGCTTTCATGTAACTTTTCCAGTTACTCAGCAGTAAACTCACAGACTGCTAAATCTGGCACTAACAATTGGTTTCCATTGAAAGTCATTTAAATTCCCTTTTCTCTTTCATCCTGACTTCAACAACCCATCATTATCGAATCTTGATGTCCAAAGGCATTGACTTACTGCCATGTTTAGCTGATTTGCTTGATGAGTTAATTAGCAATCAGGTAACAAATAAAGTGGCAAGTGAATCTATACAGTGGTGCTAACATTTCCAGCAGTAATATTAGTGATTGATTGAGGTTTTAACAGTTTAAAAATTTAGTTAGCAAATGTATTTCTTAATCTTTCTTTTTAGGACATTGAATTTATACAGGCCCTCATTTTCCTTATGGGTTCTGGAATTATCTCAAAATCCTAAATCTAACTAAGCAGACCAAAAGCACTTTATTGGCTCCTGCTTGCAGAAAACAGACTGCAGTTTTTCAGTGAAAGTATGGCTTGGGCAACTACAGCAAAATTCTAAAATATCATTGTTCTGACCACTGAGCCACCCCACCACGTTATACGTACTATTTCACATTGCCTGTTTTCTCAAGCAGAGGTTGGAGGAATCCCTTTCTTTGATCACACACGCAGCTGTATTAATGGGTTCTCTTTGGATTTTTTACTATTGAGAAGCATTTGAAATTTAGAGGCGGACCCATTGTCAAGAGAAAAAATGGGAACAATTAGGAGCAAATTTTGATCATCTCATTTTTTTTGATCCGCTAAGAGCAACTTGAAGCTTTGTATTTAAAAATTAAAAAAAAACAGAGGCATAGGCCACTTTAAATATGTTCAGATAAGAATTCTTTACTTTTACAACGGGCTACAAACTAATTTGACTGCAGAATATCAACCAAAATCATCTTACTGACGTTTTATAAAATTAATGAAGGAGTTCAGTTCGTTTAGCCAATTCACAGCTGAAATATTGAGGGAACATGTTTTTATCAATTATCATTATAAGACATTACAATCTAGGACATTTATGGGGACACCTTTTACTGGAGACAGGTGCTCCAAAATGGGGACTGCCCGCGGAAAACATGGACATCTGATCACCCTAACAGTAGTAGCGATAAAGCAAAATTAAATAGATTTCTCCTAAATGTTTGTTTAGTTGAACAGTCATTTAACATGATTAAGGGCTTATTTATGAAAAGGCTTTGAGCAAATGCTAACAAATGCAAGACATAGTAAGATGTTAGAGGGATGGACGTTACCTTGTCTAGTTTCCAGTTGCCATTCATGATTACACTTTCTTCTGCTTGGAGAAGCAACAGTCAACTAAAAGAAAAAGAAATCTGTGGAACACACCCAAACTAATTTGGGTGTTTTTTTCCCCGATTCTTTCAAAAAAAAAAAAAGAATCTGAATTTATTCTTCATGCGCGTATGAAGGGGAATCATTTCTACAACTGGTTTGTTCAAATTTTGAAATCTGCTCTGCAAACATGCACATGAAAATGTAAATACTTATTCGATGAATGCTAAGAATGTTGGTTAACAAATAATATGCTGTTGTCTTATTTTTATATTTGTTTGAACATAGTCCTGTAACGTTAGGGGAGGTAAGTGAAGGCTTGTACTAGCCTCTAAGCCTCTTGTGTTGGTGTACATACTCTATGTCTTACAGAGTCTAATATCAAGTGATGCTGTGAATCTCTAAGTGTGAGCAAAGTATTGAAAAAATCTCTTGAAAATATTTTGTTCCAATAAGTTTAAACATAACTAGTATTTTCTGCCTTTATAGATTTTTCAAAAAATAAAAAATGAAAGGAGCTGATATTAGATATCTGTCATCAGCAGTTACAATAAAGATTTCCTCCATTAGCTGATTATGTAAACATAAAATAGGTCAGAGGCTACAGACCCAGATGATGCACTCAGCGTCCAGGAGTTTCGTCATGCAGCTAATGGCTGTTTTTGAATCAATGGGCAGCAGCCCGGTGACAGACGGCTACAAACTGTTTAGGAAATCACATAAAGAATGTGAAGAAGATTAAGAAACAATATACCATTTTAACTTGTAGGTTTTACTTTAACAGGACAAAATGGAGATGATATGGTCTCTATAAGTTTCTCAAAGTTTTTAAAATTATTGTAAGTACATGAGAATATCAACAGTGGCCTCGACTCTTTCATTGCTTCAGGAGTCTTTTTATTTGGCAGTAATATTGTTCAAGCTTCACTGCATTCAGGGCTCTTGCTTGACTCTGTTACTGTAAGGCTTCCAGGTACTGTGGCTTAAAATCATATTTTCCACAACCAGGCTTGAGTTTCTACTAATAAGCTTTGTTTGATTTTGTAATACGGTACTCAGTCTTACAGCCCAACAACTTCACTTTCCTCTTGTCAGTCCAAAATAATTCTCTTAGACATTATATTGTCCATTTTGGTCAAACTCTGTTAAGCCTCATCTTGCATAATATGATACATGGGTTAAGATCCTTGAAAAAATTGGATCTGTCTTGAATGCCTTCAACGTGTGAAAATGACTTTCGTTCAATGTAGAATGATTGACTTTAAATGATTTGAAAAGTACCTGATGACCCATTTTAGATTGGTGAATAGCAACATATTATCTCTTAGATCACAGAGGATAATAAATAGATAAAAGGCGTTTTATTAGCTGCTCCATCTTACATTAGAATTACTACAAGCAACAAGGTTTGTATGTATTTTTTGTTTTGTTTTTCTCTTGAACTATTTTGTGTTTTTAGCGCCCTCTGTGTTTGATAAATATTGACAGTATGGTTCAGGTTTTTCATTTCTGTAAATAAAAGATTTAATTATGTATTTTTTACTTTTAGATAACAGGTCATTATATCTAGATATGCAGAACCCTAGAATTGTGAGTTTCAAAAGCCTGAGAGATTAATCAGCTAAAAGACAAATTTCCCCAAAAAACTTAAGATTTAACTGCTGTTAAGTTGAGCTTTATAGGATAACTCTGCCAGAAAAAAAAAAGTAAACAGCAGAACAATAAGTATAATATAGATGTGTAAAAAAGCCTTAAAATGTATGTTTTTTATGGAGACTTCATAAGCCCAAGATGCCAGTGTTCTTAAGCTTTTATTTACCGGCCTTACCACCCTGCCTAAGCAGCCTGCATATAAGATTTATAACTCCTTCAGCCCTGTTTTTTATATTTATTAATCGCTCAGACTTTAGATGATGTTAAGTTGCGATGAGCTGTTTTATTAGAGATATTTTTATGCAGATCAACACAGAACTGACTAATACCAGAATTCTACATTCTTTTGAGTTTTCTATATTGTAAAGTGACTTGAATAAATGGACCTGTGCACCACTTCATATTCTCATTCATGCTGTTGAACAGAAATTTTAACAGTATGAATGTGAATGAACTTCAATGGAAAGTCAATGATGACAAATAAAAGTTCCACACACACTATGATCAACGGTATTCTGAAAGATAGAGTATAAAAATGGATTCTGATAGATTTATTTTATAGGAGCTGTTATAGGTGCAATAAAGTATGGGAATTTATCACGAATGGTCATTTTTTAATTAAAGGTTGAATTTATTTTAATGCTTTTTGTTTTACATATCTTTAGCTGAAGTGTAAGGGCACTGTAATTTAAAAAGTCAACATAGCAGCAAATGCCTAATGTAATTTTTCTTTGATATTGCTGCTTGTTGCAGGTCTTCAGCCTGCACTTCATGTAGCACATAATGAGGTCAAAGCTTAGAGTCAGTCACGAAAATTAGCTCTGGCGGAGTTTAATATGGGTGAATACTAGTTTTTACACATCAGAGATTGCAAAACAAACCCCCATCTCCACAGGGATCTTTTGAAATAGCAGCACATGTAATGTGGTCCCACTTGTACACTTTGCCTGCATAATAAGTCACTCATCTGTGCAAAGTTGCTGCATTCAGCAGACATTGCCATCTTAGTTGTGGCGCAGTTCATGCCCCCCCTTTGGGTAAATTTCTGTCATGTGTTGACATGCTGCCTCTGCGACCTTGATTTGACTCCTCTCTGTAAAACATACCAGCATGTCCTTCTCACTTTACCTGAGTGCTATCATCTGTTGTCGTCCTATAAGAGTCCTTCAGCCTGTAATTGTCTCTGCAGACCTTGTTTGTACTATTTAAATAAGGATAATTAGCAGGGATTTACATGAATTGAAGATTAATTTGCATTTGTGAGCATTGTGTTTACAGGTTACAAAGCAGCGTAACATCATCTGGAGTATCAGAATAAAGGATAAAAAACCTGAATAAATATGCAGAATATGAAATATACATTTATTTTAATGCATCATAAATTCATATTCATTAATGCATTTTT